GAAGTCTGTCAGCTGAGGACAGATGGACTGAAACAAGCAGCGACTCCTCCGTCCTCAGTCCTTCTTAGAAATAATGAAACCGTTTGGTGGCATCTCCACAGGAAGCCGACCTGGTGACGACTCACGAGCTCGGGCATAACTTTGGAGCCGAGCACGACCCTGACAACATCCAGTACTGCGCCCCCCGAGAGGACCAGGGGGGAAAGTACGTCATGTATCCCATTGCAGTGAGCGGAGACCACATCAACAACAAGGTGCTGCTTCCTGTTTCCTCTTTAGCTTCACAACAGCAGCATGTCCTGGCTTCGCCTGTGGAAGGACGTCCTCGCCAAAACGTTTGAGGGAGCATGAACCACATTCCTGAGTCTGCGCTCTCAGATTTCTCCACTGGGGTTTGTGTGAAAGTCTATTGGCGCCAAAGGTTTGAGAGCACACAAAACAAGTGGTGTGCTCTTCAGAATTTGAGAGTGAGGGAGGACAGGATGTAACAGATGATCTGAGCGAGCAGCAGGGACCCTCCTCCTCTCTCCGACCTGTTTCTGCTGTTACAAATCAACACCTGTATGTTGCAAACTGAAACTGAAGAGCACTCAAAATGTGGCTTATGCACCCTCTAATATTTTGGTGGGGATTTATTTCCATGTTAAGTCCAGCTTTAAGTCACCACTGGACAGTAACTGCTACGCTCTCAGACATCACTGAAGGGAAGGTGGCACCAGACCCACTCCCGGCTTTTAGTCTCAGCTAATACTGTTCACCTGGAAACCAAACATCCCCCTTCTCACTTTCTTTACTTTCTCTAAGCTAATGTCTCTTCAGGTTAGAGGGTCTGGTGAGGCTCAGAGCAAACTAACACCATAAACCACTCCTTCGCCCTCCCATCCTGTTTGCTGAAGCTACAACGTGAACTTTAATTTAACCAGGGACATCACCGCTTCACATTCCGGGTGTGTTTAAGCATACAGCCCTAAGTCAGAAAAAGTTGGGACGGTGTGTAAAATCAAACTTAAAACAGGAAACAGTGATGTGTCCTGTGTTACACTGAAAACAACAGCGCATTAGTTGATGTGACACCTCATCAGTTTTATTCACATTAGTTGATGTGACACTTCATCAGTTTTATTCTTTGTTCCTGATGCTGCAACATGTTCCATCCAAAGCATTTCAGGGCCAGTGATGAGGCCAAACAATCAACTGAGGATCCCATTTCAAACAGGTGACGTAACACAGGACCCAGATGATTTACACTGTTTCCTGTTTTACTTCTACATACCATCTCAACATTTTCTGATTTGGGGTTGTACTTGGCCATTAAAGCCGATTCGGATTCTTTTCACGAGTGTCCTGATAAGTCAGTGGTACAGTAGTTAGACAGGTACTGCACACAGGAAGCAGTCATCTATCCACAATACAAAAACACAATATATATATGAAAGAGGGACAAACTCAAATTGTAAACCAATCACATATTAAACTACCTCCAACGATAAAAGCTGCAATTTAAAGGGGACAGAAGAAAAGATGGTACAAACAAACCAAAGCTGTAAAAGTTAATCAGAAAAGAAGTGTAAGGCCATGTTAATACAGGCCACGTGTTTGTTTAAATGCAGCAGCAGAAAGCGGAAGCATCCGTTAACCCTGCTCTAACCATCACCCTAATCTCTGCCAGGACACAGGTTCTGTTTACTTGAAAGCCTTCTGTGGTATTCCACCCTCAAATCCTGAAGACCACAGGGCCCCTTGGCTCCAAGGCCTGGGTCCCAGACTCCCTGTGTCCTTGCAGGACTCCGTCTGTGAATGTGCCTGATATAAAAGATCC